TCCACTCAGGCAAGGACACGGTTTTCTGGCTGCTGGTTTCCACGGGAACACAGTTTCTACCCCAGCAATTATTATTCATATTTACTCTGATTCATTTCCATAGTACTATAAAGGCCAGGAGGATGTTTACATTGGCCCTGAATGACGGCGTATCAGTCAGCTGGCCAAAGCAGCAGAGGCATGTTGGGCCTCAACATTGATTGCTATCTAAATTCAGATCGATCTTCACGGGATGAAGGCCAGCTGGACAGTGGGAGATGGTCAGGTTAGCATGTGGGAGGAAGACCGAACTGTCATGTAAAGATACAGGTAGCGTCAGGGCTCGAAGCCCAACTTGTGGTAGCTGCTGCAGATAGCCTGATTGGGGATCGGCTTACAGGGTCGACGTTACTGTTGGCAATGGTCTTCTAACCTCAGCACCACAGTGCTACGATGTGGTCAGTGGTTAAAAACACAGTGTGGTCTGTGATATATGGAAGGGTAACAGAAGTGCTCATGGTTACGGAGATGAAGCAGGGAGTGGAGATAATGTGTAAAACTCAGCCCTGGGGCATGTGACTCGCAATTTAATAGGAAGCGGAAATAGCAAGTCGGGGAAAGAAGGGAAGAGACACAAACAGTTCAAAACGAGAACGGAAGATGCAAGAAGCGTAGCGTGGCTTGAATTTTAGTTTATCAGATTGTTGGCTGTGATAATCAGGCTATAAGCTGACATCTAACAACACATTTGAAAAACAAACAATGATGTAGTCATTCATTCATCCTTCCATCCATCATCCATCCATGTATTCAACCATGCATCTCTCCATCCATTCATTCATCCATCCTATCCATGTTTGGAGTCACAAGGGGGGCATAAAGCATAAGGCTTAGGTACATCCTAGATTAGATGGCAGTCATAAATTTTTAAATAATTGCATCTAATACTCAATCGATCAAATGACTGGTTATGGCTAGGTTAAAACATGCCGATTAATCAAGTAGGGAAAAAAAACGCTGAATTTGGAATAAAATAAAATAAAACAGGGGACCTTGCACTCAAAGCCAGTGTAATTATGGGGGTTAATTGCTTTTAAAACGCATTCTCTGCTTTCCCTTTAAAACTAGTTTAGATTTCAGAGATTAATTTCCTGAGTAAGAGACACAGATAACTTGCCAAGCATTTCTTAACTTTTCTTCATGTCTTTGGGGGGGTGAACGCTTTTTGGAAACTGCTACTCCCACAATCATTGTAGGGTGCCAGACTCCTTTAAGGGCATCTTCTTTTTCATGTTCTTTAACCGGGAGGATGTTGTCTCCAAATAGCCTCCCATCATTCGGGGCTGTGTGTGGCTCAGGGGGTTACATTTCTGTGCTTGTGCTTGGAAGGCTGCCGGTCTGGATGCGGGGACTCTCAGCACTGCCGTTGGGCCCCTGGGCAAGGCCCTCAACTCCCGGTTACCTCAGGGACCCCGCGCGCCAGGCAACCCTCTGTTCCGACCTCAAGCTTTACTTTCACTATGTGATTGTCTCAAAAGGAGAGCAAGACGGAATATGCGAAAAGAAGCATTCCGATGTACGTGCACTCGTACGAATGGCAAATGAAGCTTCATTTCTGCATTGCAGACTTGCGAAATGGCATTGAGGCGTCTAAGTTGTGAAAGGTACAGCTTCAGTCCAAACCGTGAAAGTCTTCATCCGTTATCCATTTGGATTGTTACGGATTGTTTTTTCACTTTTAAACAATACCACGGGTGGGCTCTATTCAAGCATACGAAAATATCACCTTTCTTTCAGCCCCCACCTTAATAGAAATATATGAGTCATTACTGATTTGAGTATTGAATCAAATCATTAAGTTTATTCTTTTATGCTTTCTGTGTGTTTTACATACTTCACGCCATTATATTGAATAATTTATCATTGCATGGTAGAAGCTACACTGCTACTTCTGGCCTCAGCGATAAAGAAACAAATCATCGGTAATCTGTGCGGAAAGATTCCTACAGCAAAAGCCTTGCTGAAGAACACTCTGGTACCTGCGTGACGTG